TAAATATTAATTTAATAAACTTTTTTGTTTGGTTTTCAATTTAATTTACCTAATTATCACATTTTAGGGATTATAATGAGTTTTTAAACAGCCAATGTAATTTTTTATAAAATTTTAACTTTTTGAGCAAATCAAAGAGGAATGAGTACCTGTATATGCATAGATTTTTTTGGGACTAAAACTACCAAAACAAAGGCACCTATTTACAGCAGTTTAAAATGAAACATTTTAACAAAAACGCCTATGTCACACTGGTGATAAATATTAAAAACCAAGTTCAGTTGAATGTGGTAGCAAAGTCTATATATTCCAATAAATCGGGTAACTACATGTGGTATCACTGGTGATAAATTTAAAAATATCACAATTCTTGCCACCTTTTTCAAAAAACCAGAAAGTGTGCCTTCTTATGAAAATGACAACAGTGATAAATGTGAAAAAAAAAATTTCATGTTGCTATTCGTTATTACGATAGTAAAACATGTTTGCAGTTCCGTTTATTTTTTATGAAAATCTAAGTAAAAACAACCAATGTCAAAGGGTTTTAATTTTTTTTCTGTCAAACCAAATATATCACAAAATTAAAAATTGATCATAGGTCAAGCTAAAGTAATACCTTTATTAATAGTAGCTTTAAAAAAGGAGAAAGAATAATATTGACTTAAGTTATTATTATTAACATTGGTGATTTTTAATAAAAACTTCAATTATTGTTTACAAACAAAAATATAAAAATCTGTGAAAATTTTATTTATTAACCTTTTAATAAAAAATGAGAAAAATGAAGTAAAAAAACAATTTATTTACAAATAAAAAATATATACAAATCCTAAGAATATAAAAGTACTGATTTATTTTCCTGTAGTGGATGAAGAGGTTTCTTTAACAATCTAGCCAAGTGTACATCATTATCAATAACACTGAGTAGATGTTACAGATGGTTCCTCACTTCTTCTATGAAGCCACATGTTTACAACCTCCTGAAGAAAATAAAAGGGTTTGATATGCAGTTACAAAATAACTATATAACCAGCTACAAAATGCCTTATTTTATGTAACAAGACGAGCACTTTACTAGCTCTGAACGAATCCAGTAAAGAACCTCTGATTTTCAAAACTTAAAAAAAACAAGCTCACCACATTTTCACATTTTTGAAATATTATAGAGCTTTTCGAAAAAAACTGCTATTTTTAAAAGTACCATTTTTGTTTAAACAGCTATGTCTCATTTTAGGCTATTGAGTATTATAAAATAAAAAATTACGGGATGCTTTGTTAGCTTCAAACGAATCCAGCAGAGCACCCCAGTTTTTTTTTAAACCACACCACATTATTTGGCTCCTACAATATTATAAAATATTCGAAATTTGGCATTTTTAAAAAAATTCGCAATTCCTTACTGACTTCAACGTTTTTTTTTCTGAAAACAAATATACTTACCACATTTTTAGGATTTTAAAACAGCCTAAACATGTGTCATAAGTAGTTGTTTTTATATATTAAAAAACTGAAGTGTCCTGCTGACTTTGTTCCAACAAAGCACCCTGCATTATTTAAAAATAGCAATTTTTTTAGTAAAGTTTTACAATATTTCAAGAGTCTAAAAATGGGGTGTGGTTTTTAGAAAAAAGCTTTAAAAAACCGAATTGCTCTGCTGGCTTCTTTCGAAGGTTAGCAAGCACCATGTATTTTTTAAAAATATAATATTTCAAGTGCATAAATATATGGTGTTGCTGTTTTTACAGAAAAAACTTTATAAAACAGAGGTGCTTTGCTGACTTCGTTCGAAGCTATCAGAGCATTTTAAGTTTTGCATAAAACGAGGAGCATACAATTTTTGAAAAGGGTATAAAAATATGGCATGTTTTAACTCAAAATTTCATAGGTGCTCTGCAGCATTCTTTGGTATCATAATTATTACTAGGTTCACTAACAAAATCTATTTCTAGATTATTTTAACACTTGCTGCGATTACAAAAAATGTCTCTTTATGTCAAAATTAGAAAAAAAATATTTATAGGAATAAAGGGCCTTATACACTGTTTATTATATGTGATATAAAAACAAAAAAGCATAATAAATATTACAAACCTTGAGATTCAACATATCCTAAGCATTGTGCACTAAAAATTTCATTTTTGTTATATACAACAGCCACATCATAAGGTTTTTGCTGTACTTTATGTTTAGGTGTAATTTGTCTCCTTCTCTCTCATGGAAAAAGTAAATATCTCCATATTCTTGCTTGGCAGATCTAAAAATAAAACCTGAGATAAATATGTTTTACTATAAAGTGTATTGCTTCATATAAACTGTAACTACCTACCATTAAAACAATTTATAAATAAAGTTTTACCTTTCTATCTTTTGTAAACTGAGTATTGTTAAAAAATGCAGTAATCATCTCGGTAATCATATTTTCGTTTACAATGGGAAAAATACTTGATTCAACTTTTATAAATACAGCTGATAAATTCATATTCTTCTTCCTTTATATATCCTATACTCCACAGGATAATTTACCCAGATAAATTCAGATTAATAACAAACAGACTGTAATAAAATTAAACCAAAACAAAAAACTAAGGTTAGTTGTTAGGTGCTGTCAATTTTTAATGTCACTTAGATGTGCGTTCACTTCGACATTCTGTATGTAGGTTTGTTCGTTGGCTTGGTTTTGTATAACAAAAAAAACTTCGACACAAGCTGATTGGTCTATTCCCGATGACGTATAATTTCAAATTTTAAATTTCAATTGGGCTTAATTTAAAAACTTTTAGCTTTTTTAACGAACTGATTATTTAGAATAACTTGTATAGCGACTAACTATTACAATATAGTTTATAAAACAGCATATCTCACATGTGAACATGGCCCATTCAATTATCATGTCAAATTGGACAAATTGACAGCTGTCAACTGTCAACTACCTCAAAAACGCAAACTCTCAATAGGCATTTCTTTATAAGCTTACTACAGCATACTTGGTTACAGTATTGTGGTTACTATGGTGACATTACGCATACCATGGTTTCCCTATTATTGAATGTCATATGTCAAATTTAATTTAAGTTTGGGGATTTCTAAACGGAATTTGAATTTTAGAAATTTTAGGATGTTTTGACTTTGTTATTTTTTATTATAGTATGTTCTAGTAAGCTTATAAATAAATGCCTCGTTAGATATAGCTACATATGCTTTGGTAACATGTAACCAAAGCAGAGTAACCAAACGTTATAAAGAAATGCTCTGGTTACAGAAGTATGTTATGGTAAGCTTATAAAGAAATGCCTAATGTAAAAGAGGATATTTATTTTTATATTCCTCGTTGACCGTGAATTGACAGCTGTCAACGGTCAATTTGTCCAATCTGACATGAGGGTTGAATCCAGTGACCTCAAAAACATTACCCTATATATAGAATAATCAAAATATGCTTTTGACATTTGTAAATAGTATTGAAAATGAATAGTTTTGCAACAGGTCAGGGGAGCTTTGGCAGCTCCGTAGCTGCCAAAATATTCATTTTAGCACTTTGTGCCCATGGAGACTTTTGTTGAGGATGACAAAATCTACAACATATCAAAAATTCAGACAATTTGACAGAAACCCAATTTCCATAAGATTATTGCGGGGTCCTTTGATATTAATATGTGTTTAAATTAGGTATTAAATTGAATTATTGCTACTTTTATAACTGAACGTATTTTTGTACTTTAATTTTGAAAAAAAAAACAACTAGTTGGCCGTTATTGAGTTCTTTACACATATCATTTTTATGAATAAAATGGGAAAGTCTTAATACAACTGCAGTTCAAAGTTCATTTAATTACAAAAAATGGGCATAAAAATATTGTTTTGTAACTGTATAAGTTCATATAATTATCTGCGAGCTCTAGGAAGTTAAAATTATCTACTAAAAAAATAACAAAAAAAATCCCAATCTGCAAATGAACCAAACTACTATTCAAAAATAGAAAAAACAAAAAATACAACTGTTCTTTATACTTTGGCACATCTTAGACTATTTTAAAAGTGACTGTATTGTTTTACTAAAATTATAATATTCAACTTACTTTATCGTACTATTTAAAATATGCCACTGTTGAGATGAAACTGAAGCTAGCGCCTAAAATTAGGAGCTGGACGAGTCTATTTACGTTCTTCACTCTGCGGTGGTCACTGACACGCTGAGTTTTTGTGCCAGTATTGCCGCGTCATAGTTAACAAACGCTCAAAATTCAATAATGGCATTTGTTTTATCTAACAGTACCAGAGTAAGATAAGCATGTCCCACTAATGTTGGTTGGTAAAACAAAAAATTGCGAGTGTTATGGTATACTGAACTAAAAATGGAAATTTTTAGAGTTGTGCCACTATTGCACCCAGTGAGCGATATTTGAAAGCTTTCCACTTAATTGGTCATTAACAATAGTCTCGAAAATTTTAGGAATTGACAATAAACTGATAATTGATCTATAATTAGTAATAAGCGAAGGATCTCCAGACTTCAACAAAGATTTAACAAATGATTTTTTCCACTTGGTGGGGAAAATGCCTTCAGTCAGCGATTTCTTAAACAAAAGCCATAAAGGTCTTGCCATAGCAAAGGCACACTGCTTCAAAAACTGCATGATTTGTAATCTGATCTGGCCTGGGACTCTTCCCAATATCAAGTGAATTCAAATATCCTAACACATCACTAATATGTATAGGAGAGTATTGTTACAAGGATTATTTATGGTTGTAATGCGGTATTGAGTAAACATAAAACTATAAACCAGTAGTAATTTTTCATTTTTGATATGTGCTGCACGATTGCTGCTACAGAGGCTGCTACAGCTCAAAAATTAAAGATAAAAACAAACAGCAAAGCAAAAATGGCCATATATGCCAACAACATAGGTGTAAAATTCTAATTCTAAACTACAAGACTACCCAATCTTAGTTTTATATAAGCAAAACAAGTAATATTAAGATAAAATCATTAATTCACTTACAGTTAGGGTATAAGGTATTTTACTATCTGTACTTTCTTGAGCCTCTTGTACTGTAGGCCCAGCAGGGCAAGTCTCATTAAACATTTCTGCAATGACCCTAAATCTAATCGTTTCACCAGCATCCATGAAAAGGTCATGTTTGCTTCCATCTCCAGTATCATACTCCCAAACCCATGCTTGTTCAGTCTCATTAAATCTTGAAGGATGTTGCAATGCAGTTGGAGGTATGATAATATCTTCAAAAAATCCTAAAGTTACATGAACACCTTCTTGACTACAACTACGTATTTTTCCTATCAAGATTTCTTCTACAAACGGTCTAAAGACAATAAATCTGAATTTTACTCTTGTATGCGATGCTCCATCACCAGGGAATATGTATGATTCTTGAAGATTTATTATGTCATATAAAGCAATACAGAGTCCAACATTAAGAACAACCTAGGAGAAGATAATTTAATTAAAGAAACTTTAGTGTTATAGGTTATAGAAGTTATACCTTGTTTGCAAGCTTTTTGTTCAATTCTCCTGCTATTGCATCATTTAATTTCAAGTTAAAAAGTTCTGGTGGTATTCTTGTAACATTTTTTAATTCAGCTAGAATAAACATTTTTCAGTATAGAAATGTTCATCTAAAATATTCTAATCTAATTCTAAAATGTGCGTTTTGTTTACAAGACAAGTAGTTCATTTGTAATGTAACATGTAACATAACCGTATTATTTCTACTTTTTTATTCATAACCGTGATCTTTGAAGTAGTGGGCACATAGTATTTTAAAAATTTTTTGAGGTTAAGGCTCAGTAGTCCTAAAGTACCAACCGCAAACCTCGTCAAAGAAGCGTCAATCATACGTAAAGTAAACAAGAATCATATTTTTTATTTTTCATTCAGTATTAAAAAGAAATGGAACTTGATCGTAAATATTTTTAAAAACCGAATTTCATAATAGTTTTAACATTATGGAAATAGATTTAGAGATATCAGATGAAGAATATGTTATTCAAAGGGCCAAAGAGTCATTTAAAAACAATCCAGCTGCTGCCAAAGCATGGATGATAACAGCAAAAATCATGTACCCCAATAACTTTGGGGTACAGTTCGAGGCATACCAAATTGAAAAAAATGCTGGACATATTAAGGAAGCGGCCAAATGTTTTAGTGACTTGACTATAAAATTTCAACAGCAACCTGAACTTTGGAAAGAAATTGAAAAGCTTACAGTTGCTTTGAGAGCCGAATCTGATAATAATGACGAGGAAAAACAGTTTTTGTGTGAAATGTTCAGGCATTTATCCTCTGATGTGCAACATAAATTATTATTGTTTACTGCTGATCATTGTGAAGATACAATGGAACACTGTCGTTTGTTGCTTTTGCTTCTGCAAAGATTTCCAACAGCAATTTCAAGTAATGGCCCAAGACTGGTTGATACACTTATTAGTGCAGAAAAACATAGTGTTGATGGACATTTTCCAGTAAATCCTTATAGGAAACTTCTAGTTTGTGATTTACTCCCGTTATTAGCAAGTGAAAAAGTTAAAGTAGACTTATCTTCCAAATTGTTACAAAAGTTGCTACACAAGGCCATAGAATTTTATTTTTGCTATTTGGGTTTGAACACTAGTGCCATTCAAGATACAGAAACTAAAATTGAAGACCCCTGGACAAGTTTATTTGGAGTAATAGAATTTATTGGGGGTCAGTTGAATTGGGAACCATATCTAATTAATTTTTCAACCAATTGGTCTAAAGAAACCTATTGGCAGAAGATTGTAATGTTTTGTCAATCGAAAACAAAGAATTACCCATTAGAAGATAAGCAGCTTCTATTTTGTTTATCAATATTTTTTGTACATTGTCTTTTTGAATACAATTCTAGTCTAACTCCCGAATCCAGCCCTGGGCAGGTCCCGACAACATTTATTATGGTAGAGGCATTTTCTGATTCAACTTTACCCAATCTGACTGAAACAAAAAGTAAAAAGAGAAAAAGTGATGTAGACATGCCTCATATTTCTGCTCCATGTGTAACAGTGGAAAAACCACAATTTAAAAATATACAAAATAATTTTTTAGTCTGTATGAACTGCTGGGATTTACTGAATTCTTCTGAAAATTTAAGAAGGGAGTTTATTAAATTAAATGCCCATTTAAAATTAGATCCCTTGCTTTCAGGATTTGTAATAGACTACGCTCTTTATAAGGGTCTTTATGATGAATCATTGATGTTTCTCCACAAAATCACAGATTCGTCTCTGTTACTTCAAAGGTATATAAGAGAGACTGCAATATTGTATGGTAAAAAAAACTACAGCTATTGCTTAGAACCAATAACATTAGCTTTGCCTCTATTACCAAGTAATGAGGGAATCTTGAGCAGTAATTTAATTGTTGGTGGTAATCAAAAACATTTACATTATTTACCTCTTACTAGAATAGCAGTTTTACAATATTTAGTTAAAATTCTTGTAAGATGTATTAAAGAAAACATGCAACAACAATCTTATACCGATTTAGCTATTGGTCATATATTTACACTTACACAATTGGATTGGCCTCAAGATGAAGATTTTATACCACCACTTTTAGAGAAGATCAAACAGAACAGAACTTTTCAATACCACCTATTTCAAAGCTATATAATTAATGTTGATATTCTGGAAGAGCTTACGTATTTGTGGACAAGCCAAGGAGGGCAAATCCAATTAGATATCCTTCCACATTTAGGACAAAGAAGAATTGGTACAAGAGGTGCAGATAAGGGTGTTAAAGAAGAAATTAAACAGGCAATTCGAAGACAAATTTCAAGAAGCAATGAAAAACTTGATGATTTGTTGATTAGTTTCATTCTTAATGAGAGAGCTCAAATTCTACAAACTTTAAACAAGCTTACTTTTAGCATGTAACTTAGAAATATAGAATCTAATAATAGTATATAAAATTATTTTTTAATTTCATGTTTTTTATTTTCACATACTTTGATTTTCTTTTAATATACGGAGAATGGTCGCACTCTGCGCAGCTTTCTGAGTGCCTTTTAAAAGGAGCGTGTTGCCTACATCTTGGCGTAATTTTTTTTTTTTAATTAGGCATTCCAACGACCTGTCAAACAATAGGTGCCAGTGGGAAATTCTTGTATATTTAAGGGGGTAGCTACATAGTCTTGTAACTTGAACGCTATTTTTATTCGAAGTAGTACTCGCCAAGCCTGCCAATTTATAAAGAAATGTATAGGTGGGTTTTTTAAATATTATTTTTATTGTGTTTGACATAAAATATTTAAATGTAATATATTATTCATGATTTTACGTAAAGTAGATAGAATACACCATATGTCGCCACCCTTAGATATACCAAACCTGCCCACTGGTAATTCATTTGTTTGGAATGCCTAATTTTGCTTGCTGCTGTCAGTCCCAAACAGCACAGTACGTCTTAAGTACGTACAGTTTTGGTACAGGACGTAAAATGTACGTTTTAAGTACGTACACAATAGTACGTACAGAAAAATACGTACTAAGTACGTACCTAAGTGTACGTAATCCTGGTTGCATACCTATTTTATTGAAAAACCTAAGTTTTTACCAAATTTCTGTTGACCGTAGGCCAAAAAGACAAAAAATGCAAAGAAGAAACACATTTTACTTAACCTAACATAAACTCTAAACTAAACGCGCTCGTTTTTTTAAGCAACTACGTTTCAACGGTTTCAACAGTTTGTTATTGTTAGTTTTTTTATGTTTAAGAATTTAACTATTAAGGTCCATTTGCACCACTAGTTGTTAAGAAATAAGCCAAGCTTAAAATGACATTTCTCCATTAACAATGTCATTTTAAGCTTCGCTTATTTATTTAACTACTAGCGGTGCAAATGGCCCCATGTGTTTCTTTAAATAAATAATTGTGTATAATTTATTATAATTGAACAAGACAGTTCTTAAGACTTTTAGACTTTTTAGTGCGTGTTATAAGTACATAGTTTTGTCATTTTATTCTGGTGAGTGGTTTCATTTTAATTTTAAAAAATTATGTGTAATAAATATAATTTATAGATATGTCTCCCAGCCCATAGTAAACATTACAAAAATGCTACAAAACAATTGAAAAAGTTCAAGGAAATGAATAAACAGGAGGACAAAAGAAGTGATATTTTACAGACCCTAATAATTAATTTTGGATTTTGTCAAAAGGAGTATAGCTACTACCTTAATAACTATAATCAGCTGGCAACAAATTATAATTGGCTGCAGTTGTAGTGGGTAAAATGTTTTGATTTTTTATTTTTGCATGCCAGTTTTCATAAAGTTGTTGCATTAAAAACCCTCTATCCAGTCACAATTATTTTTGTATCTAATGAAATTGTGTACTTCCAACCATTGGGACTTCAAAACTGGTGGAGAAAAAGAAATAAAGGAGTTCCGATATTATAAAGCAGTGTCAGGAACAAATTGGATTTTAAAGGCATAAAGCCAAAAGAGGTGGATACAAATTAGAGAGGTTTACATCCAGGAGTATATTGACAATGATAATTTTGAGCCGTAGAAACTATCGCGTACTTTACTCTACATCTTTTTGTTATGTTGTTTTTATTATATTACTTATTATAAAAAGTACCCAAGTTAAGTTTCTAATTTGATATTATTTCTTTGCAGAAGGTGCTGTAAAAAGTAGCAAATGCAAAGAGAAGAAGATTGCAGAACAGGAAATTGTCTAAAAACTTTAAAAAAACATAGCAAAACAATTTAAATTATTCTTTTAATGTAAAAAATTAAATACATGCAAATTAACTTGTTTACTTTTTTTTTGTATTGTACTAATATGTACATTTTACATCATAAGTAAGTACCAATAAGGATAAAAAGAACGTCTAGAATATGTACTCTATTGGAATAAGTGCAAACATAGTACGTACATAGTATGTACATTAAGTACGTACACAGTACGTACATTAGGTACGTACAGAGTACGTACATTAGGTACGTACAGAGTACGTACTTTAAGTACGTACTAGGTACGTACCGTCGTTTGGAAAATGTACGTATTATGTACGTACTATGTACGTACTTCGTACGTACATAGTACGTCTTATGTACGTATGTGTGCTTGCTGGGGTGTCAGTGAATATTAGGCATTCCAACGACCTGTCAAACAATAGGTTCCAGTGGGAAATTCTTGTATATCTAAGGGGGTAGCGACATAGTCTTGCAGCTTAGACGCTATTTTTATTCAAAGTAGTAGTTGCGAAGCCTGCCAATTTATGAAGAAATGTATAGGTGGGTTTTTTAAATATTATTTTTATTGTGTTTGACATAAAATATTTAAATGTAATCCATTATTCATTATTTTACGTAAAGTAGATAGAATACACCATATGTCGCCACCCTTAGATATACCAAACCTGCCCACTGGTAATTCATTTGTTTGGAATGCCTAATTATTTTTGAAGTCACAGTTTATTGCTAAAGAATCAGTTAGCTCACTCGGACCAGTTGAAAGTTCCAAAATAACATCCACTCCAGGGATACGCAGAAGACTGCTGTTTTATTATAGGCGGTTGTCATATATTGTATTATCCGAGTTGCACAGTGTATAAACTGAAACATTGAGATCAAAAGTGCCGACGCAGAGTGAGCGATCTGATTCTTTAGCTGTAAACTGTGTCACAGGGTTCAAAATGGCCGCGCCCTATGTTGGGCGTGTCGGACCTCTCTCTTGCCTCGTATAGTAATCAAAGTATGTGCTATGGACAGAGAAACATCGCCTACATCAACCTTTCATTATAGTCTTCTTGTTTTTTTTTTTATTATTATTATTGCAAATCCAGTTTTACAATAAGAGAATATTAAGTACAAAAAAATAATAGTATATTATTAAACGAGCAATTTATGGTAGCCATTATTCACCCGAGTGAATAATGGCCATAAATTGCGAGTCTAATACTATACTTTGTCCACGACCATTTTGGTTTCTTTATTAAATAAAAGTTAATTGTAGAATGGAAAGTTTTTATTAAACATAGGTAACTAACTGTTGTTTTTTCGATTTTTCAAAGTATGTGCTATGGACAGAGAAACATCGCCTACATCAACCTTTCATTATAGTCTTCTTGTTTTTTTTTATTATTATTATTATTGCAAATCCAGTTTTACAATAAGAGAATATTAAGTACAAAAAAATAATAGTATATTATTAAACGAGCAATTTATGGTAGCCATTATTCACCCGAGTGAATAATGGCCATAAATTGCGAGTCTAATACTATACTTTGTCCACGACCATTTTGGTTTCTTTATTAAATAAAAGTTAATTGTAGAATGGAAAGTTTTTATTAAACATAGGTAACTAACTGTTGTTTTTTCGATTTTTCAAAGTATGTGCTATGGACAGAGAAACATCGCCTACATCAACCTTTCATTATAGTCTTCTTGTTTTTTTTTATTATTATTATTATTGCAAATCCAGTTTTACAATAAGAGAATATTAAGTACAAAAAAATAATAGTATATTATTAAACGAGCAATTTATGGTAGCCATTATTCACCCGAGTGAATAATGGCCATAAATTGCGAGTCTAATACTATACTTTGTCCACGACCATTTTGGTTTCTTTATTAAATAAAAGTTAATTGTAGAATGGAAAGTTTTTATTAAACATAGGTAACTAACTGTTGTTTTTTCGATTTTTCGATTTTTCGATTTATCAATGTTTTTCGATTTTTCTATTTTTTTTTGATTTTTCGATTTTTTTTCGATTTTTTTTTCAATTTTTTTCGTTTTTTTCGATTTTTCGATTTTTTTCGATTTTTTTTTTCTATTTTTCGATTTTTTTTTTTTTCGATTTTTCAATTTTTTTCGATTTTTGGATTTTTCGATTTTTTATTTTTTGATTTATTGAATTTTCGATCTAGAAAATATCGTTATGGAAAGTATCGCCTATCTTTAGTTATCTACCGGAATGTGCCAGAATTACAAAAGCGTGAATTATCATAATTCACTCCGTGATATATGGGTACCATATGCTTTTAGTTAGGAGGTAGAATATTGATTCATTATTAAGTGGTCGTGAACAAAATAAATTTAGTTCACTTGTACATGCGAAAACTAATTTTGATTTAATGCATAAAAGATAATAAAAAAATAAATAAAAAATAAAAGTTACGTCTAATAAAGGGTATCTTGTAGTGGTATCCGAAGTGTTTTTTAAATAATTTAAAGAACAGTCAATTTTTTGTAATAAATGTTTTTTTTTTTAATTGAAATTGGATCCATTACAATTTATTTGGTCACTTTTTGAAGATGACATCGGCCAAGTGGCCACCTCCGGACGCCACACACAAATTGGTCCATTTTTCGGCATTTTCCATCACTTTTTGGAGTGTTTCAGGTTGAATGGCAGCGATTTCTCGGCGTATGTTGGCCTTAAATTGTTGGAAAGTGGCTGGTTTATCAACATAAACTTTTCCCTTCAGGTATCCCCACAGGAAAAAGTCAGGTGCGGTCAAATTTGGTGAATGAGTCGGCCAGTCGAAATCGTCGTATTTCGATATCAATCGATTCGGAAACATGACACGCAATAAATCCATTGTTAGACGGGCTTGTATGGCATGTTGCGCCATCTTGCTGGAACCAATAGCCGCCCATGTCATGTTCGTCCACCTCATTTGCCACAAAGTCGCGTAACATGGCCCGATATCGCTCGCCATTAACTGTTACCGTGGCACCGTTATCGTCTTCGAAAAAGTACGGGCCGATGATCCTTTCAGCACAAACACCGCACCAAACAGTGCCTTTGGGGAATGCAACGGCTCTTCGAAGATCATTTCAGGATTTTTAATGCTCTAGAAGCGGGTATTTTGCGTATTAAAAATCAGGTGGACCGGCAAGGATGTCCTGCATATTGCGACCGTATTGGATGCGTCGCGGCCTATCAAT